ACCGCGCGTTTCATTATGCGACGTTTACCATAATGACGTCAAACGTGACGTCGCGTGAGACCTCACGAGGGCAAAATTTTCTCGCTAAATATGGCGAGAAATTTTCCGCTAAATTTTGAGGGAAATTTTTTTCCGGTAAACATTGCGGGGAAATTTTACCCTCGTGATGTCACACGCGACGCCACTGAACCCGGGAATTTTTCCGCTAAATTTAGCGGAAAAGTTCCCCGCCAGATTTAACGGGAAACATTTACACTCGTGGCGTCAGACGTGACGTCTTGTCTGACGTCCCGCTAAATTTAGCGGAAAAATTTCCCCGCCAAACTGAGCGAAAAAATTTCCCCGGAAAATTTAGCGGAAAAATTTCCCGTCAAATTTAGCGGGAAAATTTTACCCTTGTGACGTCACACGTGACACTGCACTCCGTACCCTCCCCTCCTTTTCCTCAAGAGGTGCGCTCTAATTAGACATTACAGAGAACTGTGAACGTCTTTCTTTTTTTTTTTTTTCTGAAGTAATTTATAATTGTAATTATTTACTTTGACACCGCGGTAATTTGTAATTTAATTTAATTACATTATAGAAGTGTTATGCAAAGTAATTAGTAATGTAACTTAATTACAACATGAAAGTAATTTGGCCAGCTCTGTTGTAGAGTGGGGTTTTGCGATCGTACATGAGCATTTGTTACCGAAAAACGGCACTAACAACTACTAATGTAAACAAAAGTCAAACAAGATATTCTGGTATATTTGTTACTTGTTTATTTCCTCTAGTTCGGCCAGAAGCCAGGTTTGTTCATCGCCTTTTGTCACCTTCCCCGTGATGACGGGTGATGAAAAGAGCGACGTCGTCACTCCGTCGTGGCAGCAGCCCGGAGTGAGCAGCGAGCTGCTCGTCGGCTCCACAATTTCTGCAGCCTCCCTGGCCTCCCGAGGAGTCTGCTATCGGGGTCATTGACCCGACGTCGACACGTGATCCGCCTCGCCGTGGCCGCGGACGCTCGACAGATGGAGACACCAGTCGCCCAACTCCCCTGGCGGAAGCATCGCGCATCTCCACGGAGCCCAGGAACATACGACGTCCGCCAACGCACCATTTCAATACCCGCCTTCTTCGTGCCGCCACGTGGTCAACTGGGCTGTGCTGAACACCCGTTGTGAACATGCGCAGTATACTAATTGTCTGCGAAATATCGGAGGCTGAGCAGCCCAGCCAGTCAGCATTTTTCGCCAGGTTGATCTAGAAAAGTCTGAAGCACCGGAGTGGGGCAAGAGTCAACACAACAACAAAAAAAAAAATTGCAGACGATCACACAACGTGTGCTGCGATGGACAGCGGCAGGACACACACAAATCTCCAAACACAGCTAGGTGACTGGTGCGCGACCGAAAAAATGCGCCTGGTCATTGTTGTCCAGCTGGCTGACTGATATCGCTTTAGCTGCACGAAATATGATCACAGCCGGAATATTACGTTGAAGTGAAGCTGCATACTCCACTAAAACCGAGTTTAAAGATGCAACCAACTGCTCTTCAGCGGGCGGCAAGCGGGTTAGCTTTTAGTCAAGGAACACTGGCGCACAGCCTTCTGACGTCATGTCCCGGTGGAGCTGCGGTTCTTTTGGTTGTACCCAACGTTATTAGATTAGCTCACTTACGGAAACTGCTCATAGACGCTACTTGCACGAACAGTACCCCCCTCTCCTCACTCACCACAACATCGCCTGCCATCGCTCGACGCACTGAACGGCTGCTATGGTAACTGCAGTGTGTTCTATGGAATACATACGTTTCGAAGCACAGCGTCTCGACGGCGTCCCACCGTACTCCACAAAAAAAAAAAAAAAAAAAAAAAAAAAAAAAAAACAGTTTGAGAACGAAAATTTAGATGGCGCTTCATCCGACGGGAGGCGGACTGAAGTGAGTGAAGGGGTATACCCCTTCCGCGGGAGTTCCACAGCTGAGGTAATCTAGTAACGTTAATTGTACCGCGTACCGCAGCACCCTTGTGACGTCACGTCGTGGCCGTATGGCTGATGATCAGTGTTGCCATCCCTCCAGCAGATAGTTTCAGCTTTGCCGAGACGCCCGAAACCAAACATTGAGCCGTGAAATTTTTGAAACTACATACAATATCGAAAAAAAAATTATTATACCTTGTAATTCAGGGACACTGATTTCGCTGAAAACAGTCGTGATCGCAAATAAATGTCCAGGGCCAAATATTGACGGAGATTTGCCTTCAGCCACTGTGCTGTACAATGTTTGCAATGGGTTCTTTGCTTTCGGTGGAATCGATGTAGGAGACGTGTGTGAGGTATGTGATAAAGTGGAACGACTGTACGAGATGTCGCATGCATTGGAGAAGGCATGTTGAGAAGTGCTTTAGGTACATTGTACTTAAAGTACTACTTCAAGGGGGTTTAAAATATACACTTGAAGTACATTCTCCGAGTGTGTACCTGTACTTTACCAAAGTATTTTTTTCTGGTGCATTCCGGGGAAAGTTCAACTTCCAACCTCAAAGTACGTCCTTCAAATGTGGTCTTATTAAATTTCTGTCACAAAATGATGCTTTGTCAACTCTGAAGCCCCTTGACTTCTTCCAATATCCGCCGACATTTCCGAAAATAACTGATGCACCCCCGATTACGCATGGGGCAATGTATACCAGTTTAAAAAAATGCTACAGGAGATGAAAGGGCACCATGAAAGATTGTGTTAAAAAGTACCTGTCGTTTAAAAGCCCATTTACCTCAAGTACGTTGCACCTGGTGTACTTACCACTTTACTTAAAGTACATAAGATTTCATTTACTTTGTTCTTTACTTCAACCCAGAAAAAAACACAAAAGCGTGCTTTTTTATTTATTTTTTTATTTTTTTCCTGAAATGTTTTATAACGAGGGCAGCCGTGACCGCGCCTGCCGTGGAAGCAGCGAAAGTAGCTGTTCTGTAGATGCGCGGAGTACACGAGAACGGAACCTGGGCGCGGGCAGTGGGGACGCGAGGGAGCGCGTGGTGATTTTAGCGCACTACAGAGCGCTAAAGGCACCACACGAGTTCACCATTACGGGGCGTGACGGATCTCGAGCATCTAATTATCGCTCCCCAGTCGATGACGCGACGATATCAGCTGATAACGCCGAAGAACGAATCACAAATCAAAAAGCACGACCATGATAAGTCACGCCCCGCCTTTCGTAAAAGCTGTCACTCACTGTACGGAAGATCAATGGTGCTTCAGAAAACAGGGGAAAAACTAAGGCACAGCGTCAGCGATGCCGCCGCTAATGACGTTAACGAGATAAAATTTATATAGTTAAAGTGACGTTCGCAGAAACGGTCAATGCACTTCATTCTTCAACGAGTCATTTTTTATTAACACCCGCGTGAAAACGACCCTCGCTGCAAACCACTATCCGTGGATCCCTAAGAAACCCGGAAGTGTCTGTACAAACACTTCCGGGTTTCTTTTGTTGTCACTTGTAAGTCACTTGAAACGCACGCCGATTCGCACGAGCCTGTTTCAATTATTAGTTCCCGGCAGAAAGTAGGGGGTTCACAAGCATTCCGCGGACTGTCAAGCCACCTGCAGCAGAACAGGCGTCTGCTGCAGGTTGCTCTTATGCACTGTTTTATCAGACTTACGCTAGGTGGCGCAAGCTACCGCCCGTTACAAAGGGTACAGCCACTAACATCCATCCATCCATCCATCATGCCACATAATACACCACCGCTGCTGCGACGCCGCCAGGATCGCGGCAGATGATAACATAGCACAGCTATGACGTCATCGGGCGGAAATCCAAGGACACTTTTTAAGACACGGTAAACACATCAGTCGGAGACGCCTTCCAGGCACGATAATTAGAACCAAGGAAGGCCAGGAAGGCTGACCTACAACAGTGAGCAAATCACCCGAGTTGATCCAGTCAAGCGAGACGTTTAGTCCTGAAGAGTCAGCCGTTTCTCCTAGGATTCCGGTGCAGAGCAGTGAAGCTTGAGGGCAGAACGCTCGTCGAAGCAGAGAAGCCTCACGCGAAAAATTAATCTGGGAGTTTTGAAGAGAATTATTCGTATTTTTCGAATATCTGAAAAACAGTTAACAGCGACCTTTATTTGAAAGTCCTAGAATGTACGAAATGCAGTAACTGGATGATATTTATATATAAACACTGCTTTTTTTTAAAGCTTTACAGATTTGGTTAAAAGAAGCCGTGAAAGTTACACTTATGCGGTTTGTGCAGGTGAGTTTTACAGCCAGGGGGACATTATGTGGGTGGCTAATCTTTGCGATAAGTCGGCTATTAAAATTCGTTACTTAACTTATTATTTAGAGAAAATAGACATATGGCTCCAATTAGAAACTTACTGAGCGTCATCAAAAACCACTAAGTCAACTCTTTTTAGAACGACTTGAAGCTCGTGGGAAACTTGGGGGCGCGCCAAAGTTACCACTCGTGAAGCAGGCCCAAAAGTGGCGGAACGCGATAATGATCTAACCATTCGCGTTCCGCCACTGCTATGGGTCATTTCACCTCAAATCGTGCAGGCAAAAAAGGCCGAATTTTTAATTTTGCTGAAAAAACTAGATGTTATGGCGTCGTTTATAAAAACACAGTTGCCA